CTCATTTTGAGTTGTACTTCATTAGGTCCCGAAAGCTTTATGCATTTGCATCATCATGGCCAACTCTACTTTGAGGAGGAGGCAGCTCTTCCCTAGTCGTATTCTGAATTCCTTCCAACCTGAGGAGCTCATCTTCAGGCACTATACCTGACAATATTCTAGTGCTCTTCATCATGTGTCAGTCGTCAGTATTCTCGTGCTGACAGTGTCCCATGGCTATTCATAAGGTTTTCAATCACTAAATATTCGGAAGTAGTCTTCTCCTTCCTAGGCTGTCTTCGTCTGCAAGCTCAACTGAAACCTGTCCACCACGGGCAACCCTGCTGGATTTAAAATACCAGTGGCCTAACTTCCAGAATCACAGCAACATGCAAGCCACCATATTACAACAAACTGACAGGCAAGCACTCTTAAGTGGATCTAAAAAGAACAGTAATTAGGAGGACATGTAGCAAGGGAGGAGAAAAGTCTTGTGGAAATGAGAGTAGTGGACATATCTGTCAAAGTCTAGGAATATGGGTGTGCCAAGAAGCCAGGCGGCTTAAGTTTAAGCGACCCAGACCTAATTTGCTGTTAACATTTAAAAGTCTCATTAAGAGTGTAAGTGTGTCCCAACAAATTTTATTTATAAACACAGGCAGTAGGCCAAATTTGTCCATCAGGTCGTACCGTAATTTGCCAACCCATTTTAAATTACAAGGGAACTTTAAGAAGTTAATGGAAAAATTCCACTTTTCCACAGATCTTCTCATATTCATTTATTTATTTATTTTTGAATCTCATTGGCTTTTCTTGGCACTTAGAATTTCAGTTCCAGGGAAATCTGTTCCAAAGCATCAACTGACATAGTTGAATCGTAAAATGAAATATCTTGAAAATACTTTAGAGATTATTTGGTTAAACCACTTCATTTTCCAGATAAGGACATTGAATATTACAGATCTGAAGTTTCCCATTCAGTATTTAGCAGCAAATTATTGTGGCTAAGCCTAGATCTCTTAAACTTTCAATATATTACATCATTCTTTCAAAAGACAGTACAGAGTATTGCTTATTAAGAAATGTGAATCTGAAGAACTTTGAAGTGATAATTTTGACTCGAGGGAAATATAAATTGAGCTTATATTTGAAAATATGTCACTGAACTGAATCTCTAGTATTTGTTAGACCAGAAATATCTAAGGTTTCCAAATCTAAAAACAATATGCAAAACAGACGTCTGATTACCAGAATGTTTGGGAATGAATGCTATAACTATGCATCGCAGCCTCGCAGTTAGATGAGTTTAAGAACCAAGAAAGTAGAGATGAGGGCTTAACTGCCACTGAAAAGAGTGTGGTAATGATTACCTTCTTTCTAGCTCTTACATTAACTGTCGTTTTGTGTAACTTAAGCATATTATTTAATGTATCTAAATGTTCTCGTGTAAAGTTGTGCTAATAATATCCTTTAAACATTCAAGAAAACCACCACTGCTAGAAAAAGTTCACACTGTTTTTCAGACTATCTTATCTTCCCCAAGGGTTATTGATTATTTGGTACGTTCCTAAAGACCAATCACTTCTAGAGACAAACATTAGGCACAAAGTTGGTGGAAATGAAGAACAAACATTTTTCCTCTCTGCCTTAGTTTCATTCCTAGAAAAAGTTTAGCAAAAAACTTTTGAGCAAGGAATAACATTAGAGACATGCTGTGGGTTAATAGAGGCGGTTGGGGTGAGACGTATTTTTGAACCATGTGATGTGTAAGATTTACTTTCCCTTTAGACTTCAGGTTTTGTTCATAGAGAAAGATCATTTGTATTTGTCAAAGCTTCAGCTCTCCTTAAGGAGCTCTGGTAGCATAGTGGTTACGAATCAGGCTGCTAGCCTCAAGTTCAGCAGATGGAAACTACCAGCCATTCTGCGGGAGAAAGATGAGGCTTTCTGTTCCCATAAAGATTTATAGCCTCAACGAGGCTTCTTGCGCTCTGGCAATACATAAAACTATAGGTGGAAACCAGAACCACATTCAGATCTCCAGAGATGAGTAATCTCCACTTGAGAGAATGAGCAGACCAGCCTGGAGCAGCTAGAAGAATAAAAGATGCCTCTTGAAAGAAAGACCTGCAGGAAGAATGGAGGCAAATGGGCTGTTATTACTAGAACAAACAGATTGCTTCCCTAGAAAACATCAAGGCAAGTGGCCAGGTCCTCTCAACGCAAACCCCCTTCCAAGACTAAGACTCAACGGAAATGCACACTCTGATTGGTGACCATACACATCAC